GTTTCGATGTCGTGCGTGCTTCTTTTGCCAGATGATTCAGAATGCTCCTCGATGGTACTCGCAAAGAAAACTGCACACATCCGAGCGATACAAAATGTAATATGCCCAAGAAGCCCCTCAAGAGGCCGACGAGTGGGAAGGGTCGGGGGGAATTACGACGAGAACAACACAGCAGAGGGGAGGCAAAACAGGGAGGAGACGCAGACGACCAGCTAGGGGCAGGCCAGTGTCTATCGCCAGTGCAAGATGAGATCTCGGTGGCCACCCGATCCTTGCATGCCTCTCGGATTGGCCTGGCCGTGGACGAGCCGCCGGGTCTCTCCCCGACCTCGCTCCACAAGAATCAGCACCACACTTCTGCACATGTCGCTGTGGCGACATCGTCGGCCCTGTCAGTCAAGACGCCAAGCTCAGCAGGGGGAGGGGGAGGGGGAGGGGGAGGGGGAGGAGGAGGAGGAGGAGGAGGAGGAGGAGGGGGAGGAGGAGGAGGAGAAGGAGGAGGAGGAGGCGGAGGCGGAGGCGGAGGCGGAGGCGGAGGAGGAGGAGGAGGAGGAGGAGGAGGAGGAGCCGAGGCGATCCCCTGCCTCACGTAACGCTGCACGTGCGTCGCTGGGTCCCCCTGGCTCACCCCCCTCTCTGAACCCACGCGAGGAGAAGCCGACATGAACGTAACAGTTCGTAACGCCGCGAAAGAAGGAATGAAGACGAAGCCAGGAAGACGCTATATTCGGGTAATATAAATCGAGAATCTATGAGATGCGGCGGATCTAGAGGATGTCTCGGGCGCCGCGGCCTTCTCAGAGCGGCCCAGAAAGCTGAGGAACGGACTATCCTCGTCCCAGCCCCGTCTGAATGTAGGGCCGCGAAGAGAACATTGCACTTCACGCAAGTCGGGGCACTGTTTCATGTCATTTCGGCCCAACACTGATCGAAAAGGCGGCGGAAGGATATATGATTTCCAATAGTATGAAACTTGTGCTCATCAATTCGATCGGGTCGGTCAAGCTGGTGCCTTTTGACCTTGATGGTGTCACCGGAAGCCGGACCCACCGCTTGGAGCAAGAATCCAGCGTGCGGGCGACGTTAGGCAAGCTTGGCCATAATGGGCTCCAATGCTTGCCGAGCAACATTCAAATAATCCGAGTATATAGGGGGGCCCTCGGCCCTATACTGGGCCGCCGAACAAAGGGCCGCAAACTCGGCAGCCTCAGGGGTCTGGGGGAAGACGCCCAGCAGAGGCCCCGAAATGGTAGCTAGATGGTTTACATGGTCATCCAAGAGAACAACCACCCAACCCGCCCTGGAGAGCTCTGGAGAGACTTCCCTAGAGCAGGATCCGTCAACGAATATGTGCCCTTGGAGGCTCGTAGAGGTACTGATGGGGTCATGGCACCAATGGATCTGCGATTTATTATCATCGCCGTCACCACTCGGCCTCGGACAAAGATCTCCTGGGCGTTCAGAAAGCCCACGGGAAAAAATAAATACTCGCTCGGATCATTGGATTCCGAAAGTTCTGGAGGGGGTCGAATGTGGTTGTACTTACCCAGTGTGTCTCTCCTCTGAACCTCGCAGGTAGGGCAGTGCCACAGACGATGGAGAATATTATCTTCAGCTGCCCCGCGTGGCGGGCACAAAGAGTCGGGCAGCTGGTAGCCAGCTGCAGTAGCTCTGGTTTTTGCCCAAATTGCATTACAACATACCGCCTTGATGCAACCTCTCCGACGCGGGCTGAACCTGTTTTTCCTGTAACGTGGCATGCACCTGATCATGACACACACGGACAGGTTGCGGTAAATGGCTCAGCAACTGGGCACCTGATCTGCGCTCGTGGTACGCTTGGACGGCCGGGCGCAGGTGCCGCTTCAAAAGTGCTTGCGGGATGAGCGTCAGCGGGTACTCCACCCCCTTGTGGTCCACAGTCGGGGTAAATGAGGGCGTGTACCAACCTCACCTAGTAAGGCTGAGCTTGAGGGCCCCTTATGGGTCCCGAAACTTTCTTCCAGGAGAGCGGCCCAGGGCTCCAAAAAACACATCCCCAAGCCTCACGGATCTCGGTCCAGGACAGGATGAACTGATAGCCTCTGTGCCGAAGGGCCCAAATTTCCTTGGCATACCTAAGCATCGGTGCCACTGGCCCGTAGAACGTAGGATCAACGCAGACGTGAGGGACCTGCCTGGAACCCAAGTTCGGACGAATACATCTGCCGTATGACGTGCGGGCCCTGGTCCACTCGTAATCCGAAATTCCATGAATTGCAGCCCCGTAGTACTACCCAGGGTGAGGTCCCGTGATGAGCAGCGTTCTTGTATGTCGTCCTAAGGCCCGTCGAAATTTTTGCAGCCTGCTGCTTTTGTGTTCAAAGTAAGAGACCGAAGCTGGAAAACGCGCGAACAAGCCTTGGCCCTTCTGGGCCTTACACTCGCGCGGTCAATCCCCAAGTTGGCTGCATAAGAAACGGCTTGGCGTCCTGTCAAGGACCCGATGCGCTTGCGTAATATACTGATGACGTGCTTGTCGGAAGAAACCAGGCACGCCTTGCCCTCATAATGTGTGATGCCTAGGTCGTGCACAACCAACTGCTCCAAGTCTTTGGCAGCTTTGGATACATCAAAAATAACACCCGAAAGAGACCCAACAGCACTGGTTCCGTAGTCATCGAAGAAAATGTCGGGGGATAGTTGCGGAGGTAACTCAAGTATATCTAGAGATGAAAGCACGAACGAACGTAGTAACGAACGAACGCCCCGCAATGATGGCGAAATTGGCGAAATCAGGCCCAGAGATGGAACCCCCCCTCGCAACGAACCAAGCATATCGGTAGAATGCAATAGCAAATCCAACGATGGTGGGGGACAATCTATAGGCACGACATCGAGCACGAAGCAAGGACACGTCGACTAGCTCGGAGCATTTGTAGAAGCCCAAGAGAGGCGTAGCTGAGGTCCGCCCTCGGATGACTTATGCCTCGGCTCGAACCTTCTGGCGCCAGACCACGTCTGCGCTAGACGAAACCTTCGCAGCTGCAGAAAAAAAACTCGGGTTCTCTTCCTCCCAGTATACTGCGTACCTCCTCCTGGCTTTACCCCATAACCGATATATAGAACAGAACACACCGATCGGGCGGAATCCGCTCGTGGCAGGACGAGGAGCAGGAGGAGGAGGAAGAACAGAAGGATACGGAGGAGGAGGAGGAGGAGAAGTATGAGCACGATGGGGGAGGAGGAGCAGGGGGAGCAGGAGGGGGAGGAGGAGGAAATGGAGGAGGAGGAGGAGCAAGGTGAGGGAGAGGAGGGAGGAGGAGGAGGACGACGAGGAGGAGGAGGGGAGGAGGAGGGGGGGAGGGGAGGAGGGGGGGAGGGAGGAGGAGGAGGAGGGGGAGGAGGAGGGACGAGGAGGAGGAGACGAGAGGAGGACGAGACGGAGAAAGGAGGGATGAGCAGGATGGGGGAGAGAGGAGGAGGAGGAGGAGGAGGGAGGAGGAGGAGGAGAGGAGGGAGGAGGAGGACGAGAAGGAGGGGGAGGATGGGGGAGGAGGAGGGGGAGGAGGAGGAATCAGGAACCGGGAATCAGAACAGTCGCGAAGCAACATCAAAAAACTAACAAACCCATCACTTCGGGCCTTGTGCTTTCGGTGGGAGGCCTCGTAAAAACCGATCAATATAATCCCGCCGTGTGCGGGTAATCTGATCGGGGCGACACTGATGGGCCAAAATACGGATCTGATCCTCGCCACGGAACCCACATTTCCCTACAGAGCCACGTGAGCACTGTCTTGGGGAAAATCATCGTATGAGAGCAGTGAACTCACCCACCGCCGACGTGGACCCCACACCTTTCCCCAGGACGTGACAGCACCTGGTTGATAACGTGGGGGACACTACATCTTGAATCAAGCCCGGCCGTCCTCGCGGACTTAGAAGTGGACGAGAAAAAGCGACGGCACCGCGCGCCTGTGTCGCCCAGCTCGCGACGCGGGCTGAAGACTGCAACTGCTGCGGCCGAAGGCGGCCGCGGGGGGGGGAGGGGGAGGGGGAGGAGGTGGGATGTTTCCATGAGCGTCCTGCGGGGTCGGGCGGTCGAGCACACGCTCATGAGCGCTCATGGCCTCGAATTGAGCTCTCATTAACCTTTTCCTGACAAGAGCAACCCTTCTCTCAACATCCAACACCTTGGCCCTCTGCTTCTCTGGAACCCTCCACTCCTTGGCAGCTTCTCCTGCAATCTCGTCGGCAACTGCATTGCCTAACAACGGATGAAAAACGCATTTCGTGACTAAGAGCATCGCCCGCCTCGAGGTGAGACGGGACCCACAGCGTGGTGATAAACGACGAGTCGCGCTCACTTAGTAAATTGCCGAACTCACGCCATATGGGCCCAAGGGCTCCTTGCGGGCTAAGATAAGCACGATGATGCCAACCGTCGGCAACAGCACGATTATCATTTGCATAGATAAGTACACCCTTGCTGAATCTTATGGCAACCTCGACATCCCGTAATTCACCCCGTGGAACTGTTTGAATATCTCCAACAAGAGGCCCTGCAAGAGAAGGCCCAACAACTAGAGGCTCATAGTTCCTTATCGAGACGACCGAGAGCCCCACGCGCCTAAGATGCTCGTCGCAGGACTCGGGGCCCCCAGAGGCGTCCCCCAAGAGGACCAATGGAGCGTCCCAAGATCCCGTCCCCAAGCACCCAGGGCCTATGAGGCCCTCAGAGGTCCCTAGGATCTTCCCAGCCTCGACCTGAGTCGGTGGATCCACAGCTGTCCACTGCTTGGGAATGATCCCTCTGTACCAAAAAACACGGCGTAGCTTCACCTTGCGAGGAGGAGGAGGAGGAGGAGGAGGAGGAGGAGGAGGAGAAGGAGGAGGAGGAGGAAAAGGAGGAGGAGGCGGAGCGTCCTCAAAGGAAGGAGGAGGGAGGAGGAGGAGGAGGAGGAGGAGGAGGAGGGAGGAGGGAGGAGGAGGGGGAGGGGGGGGGGAGAAGGGCGGGAGTCCTCTCTTCGTGGTGCGGCCGGATGTACGCCTCGTAGAGGCACGTGCAGCCTGCGCACGGCCCCGGTCTGCCGTGCGGGGAGGGGCCTCGGCCCTGCCCCCCCATGCAGCCCCCTCCCTCCTCCACATCCGCCTCGATCGCCCCTCCTTCACTACGCCTCCTTCCCTCCTGCTCCTCCCTTTTTCCTGCTCCCCCCCTCCCTCGTGCTCCTCCCTCCGCCTCCTTCCTCCTCCGCCTCCTCCTCCTCCTCATCCTCCGCCTCCTCGCTCCTCTGCCTGGGTCCCCCTCCCCCACCCCACTGCTCCTCCCCCCCGCCCTTTTTCGCCCTCCTTCCGCTTCCAACAATGAGCCCTGAAGGGGCCCAGAAGTTCCGCATGAGGGTTCCCCACAAAAGGTTCCGAACGGCCATCCATTGTCTTTGGGTGCGTGGCTGAATATTGAACTCGTGGTGAGAAGTCTGTTTGTTGCGTTGTTGTTGTTGCTGTTGGTGTTGTCGCTGTTGGTGTTGGTGTTGCGGTTGCTGTTGTTTTTTGTTGCGCTTGGTGTTGTGTTGCTGTGGTTGTTGGTGTTGTTGTTGTTGTTGTTGTTGATGATGTTGCTGTTGTTGTGGTTGATGATGTTTTTGTTGTTGTTGATGAGCGCTCGCTTCTGAAGAATAATTGCGGTTGGTTCCCCCTCACCGGTGCATGCTGATTTTTTCACCATCGAACAGTGCCCCTCGACGCTCGCACCCTGTTTTTTGGCAGGGGAAATCGTGGTGCGCAAACTGTGCCCCCGACCCCCCGGGATTACAACAACAACGGTTCCCGCCTGAGACTTCCACCAAATTTGTTCAGGACTCCCGCTGCTGAGATTTCCTAACAATTTCCTCAGGATCGGTGCTCCCGCCTGTGACCTCCTCGCAATTTAGTCAGGAACCCCGCTCTCGTCTGAGACTTCCTCACACGTTACTCAGGAACGGCGCTCCCGCTCGAGACTTCCTCGCAATTAAATCAAGACTTCCTCGCAATTCAATCAAAACCCCCGATCCCGCCAGAGAGCACTTCACATTTTCTTCAGGAATTGCGATCTCACTTGTGACCCCCATGCAATTTATTCAGAAATCGCGCTGTCGACGCTCAAGAAACACGCTGCGCCAGGGACGCCGTTACAGCTCACATAGTTACCGCGCTCTCGCCATACTCAGGCATCCCGCTTGAATGTCCCACCCGCCCAACCCGCCCGTCAGGGTATCGCCCGCCCGTCGTGGGCTCCCGCCCGAGACTTCCCTCAGGAACGGCGCTTTCGCCTAGGACTTCCTCGAACGTTCACGCTCACACCTTCCTGTTCCTCCTCCCTCTCCCTTCTCCCTCCTCTCCTCTCTTCTCTCTCCCTCCTCTCTTCCCTCATCCTTATGCCTCCCTGCCCTATCCCCTCCCCCTCCTCTCCCTCCTCCCTTTTCCCTCCCCTCTCCTGCCTCCTCCCTCCCTGTTTCTCTCTCTCTCTATCTTTTTCTTTCTCCTCTCCCACTCTCTCTCTCTCTCTCTATTTCTCTACCTCTCTGATCTGTCTTTGTTGTTTTGTTTGTTCTCTCTCTCTCTCTCTCTCTCTGCATCTAATCAACCGCCCCCCTCTTCGCTCTTTCTCTCCTGGCATTTCCCCTTTTCCTTCGTCCCTCCCCCTCCCTTCCTCCCACTCTCCATCGTTCTCCCCTTCCACACCAATTCCAATGGCGGTCACATGTACGCCCACAAAATATTGTCCGCCCGTTCAGGTTTGCCCGCCTGTGTAAGCCCGCCGCCCCCCGCAAAGAGAAGGAATCCCCCCAAAGGGGGTGTGATCGAAGACAAAAAGGGCGGGTATCGGGGGTGTGGGGAACTCGTTTTGAATGACACGCGGGCAGGTAAGAGCGAACAAACTTCCACCCGCGACCCACCCGCGACCCACCCCGCGACCCACCCCGCGGCCCACGCCGCGACCCACTCCACGACCCACCTGCGACCCAACCCGCGACCCAACCCGCGACCCACCCCGCGACCCACCCCGCGACCCACCCGCGACCCACCCCGCGACCCACCCCGCGACCCATCCGGCAACCCACCCGCGACCCACCCCGCGACCCACCCTCAAGAGAGGAGAAACCATCTGGACCCGACAATTGACGTTTACCAAACGGCCCTGGGCGTTTACTAAACAGCCCTGCGCTGTTCGATTCATTCCTTGTGTGCGCTTACTAAACGGCTTCGCTTGTCGGGCTCATTATTATGGAATGAACTCTCTGCCCTCTACACCCGCGACCCACCCCCAACAACGACCCAAACGCGACGCACCCGCAACCTATTTGCGACCCACCCGCGACCTACCCATTGGTTTAACGACAAATCGGCGCCTGCGGCGGGCTCATTGTATAATTTGTGAATCTTTGGCGCCTGCGGCGGGCTTCTCCAGAGTCTCGCAAACTGCCGACGTCCCCACCACCCCCTCACTCGTATCCGCATCTGCGGGGGGCTACATACCTATAAGCGGCCAGCAGGTTCCATCTCCTTTGAATAAGCTGCCTGCAGATTGAAGAGGGAAGGGAACGCCCCTGAGGCGTAGAAGAGGCACACGAGATGTCCAAGATGGCTCAAGATGCTAAAGACGCTGGGGGCTCTCACAACAGTGCCGAAAACGAGCTCTCGAAGGCGGGAGACACTCTTAGCAGCGCCTCCGGCGCTGCCCCTGGCGGGCTGCGCGCCAGGGGCGGCGCCGGAGGCGCCGCCGGGGGGGGTCCCAGCGCGGATGCAAGAAATCCGCGCGGAGCGCCAAAAGTGTATGCTTACGGCGTCCTTTTCCTTCTTCGAAAGAAGGCAGGTTCCTCCAGACCCGGGCCACCTTCGCATGCACGTACAACTGTCCCCTTATAGCGCCACCGGCGGCGATCCAAGAGGAGGCCGAACAAGGCGAGGCGCAAACGCAGCGGCATGCCCGACAGACGCTGGAGGTCTGGGCCCCTGGCCGCAAGAGATGGCCCCTGGCCGCAAGAGATGGCCAGGTCGGGCATGTCCCTCCACAGGAGGAATGTTCGAAAACAGTCGCAGTATAGTTGGGGGGACGATTTGTCGACCACTTCTGGCCATCTTGGAACCTTTTTCGACTATCTCTTTTCGGGGGGACGATTTGTTGACTGCTTCTGGCCATCCTGGAAGCTTTTTCGACTATCTCTTATTCGTCGTCCGAAATCCGCATGTATAGAGGAAAAAGAACTATGCACATGCACCGATTCTGGCCAGGCCCATCCTGAGCCCAAGATCGGTGCATACGCCCTCCTACCTTGGCCAGGAAGGCATATGCACCGATCCTGGGTCAAGGATGGGCCTTGCCAGGATCGGTGCATGTGCATAGTTCTCTTCGCCCGAATGTAGGGGGACGCGCCCGACCGAACCCGAGGAGGCGACGGAGACATCCCGAGGCGGACCCCGCCGCGGCGACGAAGAGAGACGGACCCCGAAAAATCCGCGCGGGCCACCCGCGCCTGCGCGGCGCCGGCGGACTTCGGCCGTCGGCGCCCGGAGATGCCTCGGGGAGGGCACCGCGGGGGCCTTCGGGCCAGGTCGGGCTACGGACGAAAAATAAAACATGGTCAACAAAAAACCCAAGAGGTCAAACGTACACCCTGCGAAATGCTTTAGAAATCATGGGTTAAGAAATTCATAGTCTCAGAACTTGAATAAAAACCCAGAATGTCTATTCAAATCTTAGGATTTACTTTGAAACATTAAGAATAATCGAGACTCTGGCCGAAAATGTGGGCTTTCTTAAGCATCGCCCAGGGTGTAGTCAACAAGAAACCGTGTCGAGACGGCATATTTTTGTTACCACTCTGGAGCACGTCCCCCCTCTATAGCGGGACGGGCCCGACCTGCCCTCCGGGCCGGGCACCCCGGGCCTCCGCTCCGGGGGGGGGGCGAGCCCGGCCCCCACGCGCTCGGCGACGCGCAGAGCTGCCGGAGAGCCCCCCCCCAAGGCGGGAAGACATCCGGGACCTCGCGCGCTCGGGCTCGGGCGGGGCTCGGGCGCTCGGCCGCGGGCCTGGCACCGGCGTCGGGTCGGGCGTGTACCCCCCTGCAGGCGGATTTTGGGCGAAATATGACAATACGCAAGAACAAAACGCCCCGGCATAATCAGAGACGCTCCCCCAAAAATCGCCCCCAAAATTGTTTTATATGACCATTTTGGAATACTCCTCCTCTAGAGGGACAGGCCCGGCTTAACCCTGGTGTGCGGCTCGGGCGTGCCGGCGCTCGGGACCGGGCTCGGGCCCGGGCCTTCTGGTTCGGGCCCCGCATGGTCACCTGTCCTTCGTTCGCGACGTTGCAAAACAGCTGCAACACGGCAGCAAATCCCGACCAGAGCCCTGGACCCGATCGATCGGTGAGGGTCCTGCAGGGGCCCGAAACTGGGCGAAAACGCCCCGCTCGACAAAACTGAGACGCCTGGATCTCGGGGTAGTCCAACGCCTGGAAACCTCGGGCTTCGAACCTTCAAGATGGTTAGCAATTAAAGGACCCCTCACCCTTTCTGAGCGGACCTGAATTACGAGGTCCAAGCCATTCGGGATCATATGTACCAAACCCAACCATCCAGATTGATCACCCCGAACGCAAAGACGGAGACCTGAGGTAGACTGCGCCTTCACTGTGTCCGTGTTAGGGGTTCTTCCATTCGGGGGGTGCCAACGGTGCCCCTGGCCCAAAGTGGCCCCAGCTTCCCGCTCCATTCTGGACCCCTTCGGGGCCCTCTGGGCCTCGCGCGGGGTGCTCAGGAGGCCGTGGGGGCCTCCCCGGAGATCCTGGGGGCACCCTGGGCCAGCGGCACTTCTGGCAACGCCCGACTTTATCCCCGATGAAACGACGTTTGGGAGGAGGGGCAGCAGGAGGAGGAGGAGGAGGAGTAGGAGGAGGAGGGGGAGTAGGAGGAGGGGGAGAAGGACGAGGAGGAGGAGGAGGAGGAGAAGGAGGAGAAGGAGGAGGGGGAGGAGGAGGAGGAGGAGGAGGAGGGGAGGGGGAGGAGGGGGAGGAGGAGGAGGAGG